GCAGACCGGCAGTCTTCCTGCCTTGGCCACAGATGTTGTAAGCTCATTTCGAGGCTGTCATCCACGCGCAGCATTGGCAAGGGGTACCGTGTTAATGATTACAACGTGTACTTTTTAGTCGAAGGATGCTTCGATTAGCGACGAAGTTACCAGGGTTTGCGCGACGCAGTTTAAGAAATATTTTGTGTTTACTTTCATGCAGGGGCAGATTAATGGGTCAGGCCAGAGAGGGGCGGTGGGCATTCGGCTGGCGGACGGGGGAGTCTGCTGAGATATTACGTTACGGCCGAAACGTTGCCCAGGTCTATTTTGTTGACCCAATAGTTGCAATGTCACCAAAAACTAAATTTTTGGCTGGTGTTTATCAATGATTTTATTAAAGTTTACCTTGGAGAACTTACACTCTCAAGAAACAAGGGTGTAAAAGGGTGTATCGTTACACCCTTTGTCCCATATAATACACCCCAAAACTTCAATTCGACGTATAGCGCCCTGAAGTCGAACACACGGCCCGAAATTTCACAAGGGGCTTGATAGCCGTGTGGTACAACTTAATACAATAGCTAATGTACGTTTTACTGACTACAAAAAAATATAATCGGGTTTTCTTGGCCGTACTGTAAAAACTCGGTGTTTTCTTTATGTGGTCTTTGATACGTACTTTAGCTATTTAAAAAGTTATATTGCACCGTTATCAAGCCCCTCGTAAAATTTTGGGCCGTCTGCTCGACTATAGGGCTCTGTACGTCGAAATTAAGTTTTGGGTGTATTATATGGGACAAAGGGTGTAACGATACACCCTTTTTTCTCGAGAGCGTAGGGGGCGGTCGCCCCCCCTCCCCCCTAAATCCGCCCCTGATTTCATGACTATTGAACACGGCAGGCAGTCGAGATTGTAGCAGAAAATGACACAACGTATTTTCCTCCAGCCCCCAAGTGTAACGCAGACCGGCGGTCTTCCTGCATTGGCCACAAATGTGGTAAGCTCATTTCGAGGCTGCCAGCCGTGCGCGGCGTTGGTAAGAGGTATCGTGTTAATGATTACCACGTGTATTGTTTAGCCAGAGTACGCTTCGAACAGCGACGAAGCTACCACGGCTTGCGCGACACTCGTAAAGAAAGATTTCGTGTCTACTTTCATGACTGTAGATTTCTGAAGGCAGCCGAGATTGTAGCAGAAAATGCCACAACAATCTGTGGCTCTTCAGTCCCCAGGACCCAGGTCTTACGCAGACTGGCAGTCTCCCTACCCTGGCCACAGATGTGGTAAGCTCATTTTGAGGCTGCCAGTCATGCGCAGTGTTGGTATGGAGTATCGTGTTGTTGATAACAATGCATATTTTGCATGATGGAACTTAACGCGAGACTGGGGTAGAAACAGAAACTTAAAAGTAGAAGGGACAGAGAACAAGTAAAGAAGAGAACGTCTGAGACGTTCTCTTCTTCACTTGTTCAGTGAAGCAATCTCGTGAAAACGTCATTGCTTTTTACGCTAGCGTGTCAGGAGCAGTCTTTGAAAGCTTAGCAGGTGCCGTCACTACTTTGGGTGCGAAAGTTGGGCAGCTTTCGATAAAAGACCAGCTTCTTCTTTGCCTTATGAGGCTTCGCCTCGGGCTTTCGTACGGTCATCTTTCAAGGATTTTTTTTATTTTTTTTATTTCCAAGTCGAGTGTCGGCAACGTTGTGAATGTGAAGGCTATGCTGGGACGACTCAAGACGGTCATGGAGTCGGTTGTACTTTGGCTGCCAAGGCCAAAGTACAGTAGTCCGTAGTAGCAATCCACAGTCGTTCATCGACTATGGCCATGGCAGAACGACCTGCATTATTGATTGTACCGAGGTACATTGGGAGCGGCCTCTGAAGCTGATGCCTTGGGCGCAGACATACAGTGGCTACAAGGCGCATAATACAGTGAAGTTCCTTGTGGCCATTGCTTCCCCGCCCCCCCCCCCCCCCCCCCCCAAAAAAAAAAAAAGGCAAATTTGGGGGTTTACGTGCCAAACCTACGAGGGCATCTGGCACGCCCCAGCGGAGTACTGAGAAATAATTTCGACCACTTGGGGATCTTTTGACGTGCAGCTGAAAGCTCGGTTACACTGCGCCTTCTCTGCAATAAGCCTCCGTTATATTGCGGGCACCTCAGTCGGGATTCTCTAACCCACCACTTTTGGCGCTTTGCCTCGGGGCCACCGAGGCGGCCGGCATTGTTCCGAATTGGTATACCATGCACGTCTCCGATGCTTACGGAGGCCGTGCCTCTGATACATTCATTATGCGCGAATGAGGAAGCAACGACTATTTGGTTCGAGGCGACGAGGTCATGGCTGATCGTCGTTTTACGCTGGAGACCGAGCTGGAGGAGGTCCAGGCTGTAAAGCTCAACGTTGTAATGTTTGCACTCAATGTTAGCACGAATAAACTTCAGTTGTAAGTCAGCGCCTTGTTTGTCTACCTTCTCGTTCTTGTCCGTGTCTTCACTCTGTTTTCATTTTATCCGGAAATACCTACTAGGCCGAAGTTCTACATTTGTTGCGTTCTGGTGTATTAGAAAATTCTGTTGTTTATTCGAGATCCGAATATTCTAGCCCTTGCTATCCAGTAGGAATTTCTTGAGGGGAGGATGAAGATCAATTCCATTTTAATACTGAATGTGCTAAAATGTTATTCGTTGACAGTGCTCACATTCTGATATCTTTACAAGGGTGAAACGCATTTCAGGGGTCGTGCAAAAAAATTTTGTTGGAATGTTCTTACTTAACGCAAACTTGCTCGCACTAGTGGGACCTAAGTATACTCGCACTAAACTGAACTGAAAGAATCTTCTCTGTCGCCGCGTAATTTAAAAAAATAAAAGCGGCCGTTTTCTTTCAGTTTCTGCTTTGCAAAACTTTATGACGACGTTCCGGGAATCGCATTGTCGGCGATGTCAACAATGCGATGTTCAGAACTTCGTGGTCAAGCTTTGCGATCCCCGCGGTGACGGTATTTGAATGCGACTCCTACAGGGGTCACGAGCACTGCGTGAGCATTCAATTTAAGCTCGCAACAATCAATGCCTCGACATGTATTGGTGTAGTGGCTCGTGCTCAATTGCTGTATAGCCAGAATAGCCGAACTTTAAAGGAGCTGTGCCACAATTTCACTGCTCTGCTTAAATAATTTGGGAGTTCTTGTCTCGATCTCTCTGAAGTAAAGAACGAAAAACCGCCTTTGCCTGCATGTACTAGTTTTTGCTCCAAAAATTGACAAAGATTGGGGTTTTCGGTACCCCTCACCACCTTCACCATCTTCCGAGTCACGTGCCCTGTGACGTGAATGGGGGACGGGCGGGGTTCCGGTGAAGCTCTCTCTCTAGAGCCATCAGCGAGAAGCGAGAACCCACCCGCTCGCGACCACGTGACCACGTGCTTGCGCAGCGCGACCAACATGGCGAAAGGAGGAAGGTCTCGTCCGGGTCTGGCTATCCCCGTCCGGCTCTGCCTCCGTCCTCCTCCGTCTCCTGGCGTCTGATCGCGGTAGCAGATGGAGCTGACGATTTTGTTGACCTCGGATAGATGGCGCCACTAAAACTCCGTATAATAAAAAAGTTTTGTCGATGATACCAGGTTTTTGACGTATTTATTTTTATGTTGGGACGACAAGATTTCTAGAAAAGTTACCTTTTATCGAGCAGGTATTTGCACAAATTGCTATCTTTATTCAAGTCTGACGTCATGACGCGTAGTTCTCATGGCCGCCGCTCGCGGCTGCAGGTCGGGAAATATTCTAACTTTTGCCTCGCGATTACGCGGCGGAATCGCAACATTTCGAAGGAAGGAGATGTTTTTTTGTCCTTTATGACAAGATGAACAAAGGCAAAATTAGAAGCTGCAAATTCTTTCAACGTTAAAATCCTTGCACAGCTCCTTTAACAATTTGTGGACCTCGGCGCGTGCCCTGTGCTTTGTAACCTCCAGTGCGTGACTATGAAAATTATTGGCGGCATATATTTTGCCAGATCACGTGGCCATTTGTTCTGGTTGCGAGTTGAGGCGCTGTTCGTGTTTTTCGAATTTGTTTTCCACGACTGCAATGTCACAAATAAAACAATAAAAATAACTTACGCGTGTCTCATAAGTTATGAATGTCAAAAAAATATCCTAAGCCTGAAAGTAGAAAAACTGTTGCATCGCCATTTTAATACGTTGTCTTGAATTTTTAGAGCTGAATTTTATCTAGTGTCTTTGGTTATAGATTATGTTTTGTGGACTAAAAGATGGCGGGCTATTTTGTTTGCAGACTCTGAAAGCGTTGTTACCATAAACATATTATAGAAATACACTAAGAATAATCCGATGAAATGACTCGCTAGAGTTTCCTTTCTGATTACCAAACTGGCAAGCACCAGTAATTTCACGAAATTTCAATGCACGAACTTACAGATAATTTAATTATGTCATGTACAAAGAGTAAAAAAAAAGTATCGATATCAGTTAAAAACATGGATCTACCTCTCACGCGTTTACAGCCGTCCTCACCTGTATGAACTCGAGTGTTGACGTCCGCCACTGCTTATTCCCGGTGGAATCAAGGTGTTTTTTCTTTCATTAAACCTGCAATCCAGCATCCCTCGTGTAAAGTCCGTATTATTATCGTCCTTTGAAAATTGTCTCAAGCGCTTATAAGGGTGTTCGTGCTTGAACTTGTATGTAGTTACACTGGCCAATAAAACCAATTATAAAGTTTGAACTAACTTACATAGTATACGTATTCTCGCGCGGTTTGTTGTGTTTTTGAAGATTGCAGAGCGATCTGCAGGGTGTAAAGGGCTCAATAACTGAGCGAGTCTTCAAAAGTTTGGAATGTATGGCAAGGATTTCGTTAGTTGTCTTTTCCTTGCATCATGTGTTGTCCCGCACAGCGGTGGAACAAGACTCAAATTCTCCCAGATTTATTTTCTCCCAGCAGAACTGTAAGTCATTAGCAAAGACCTCAAGATTATTTTCAAGTAACGGGCAACTCCAGTGCAAAATTCGAGATTTTATTTTGAATAACAACTGCATTCTTATGAGATAAGGTAATCTTCCCACTTCAACAAGTTTTTCTCACAAATGATGGCGGACGAACGAGACCCACCGTCCGAAATGGGGCGTAGATTTAATGTTAAGTCTATCGGGTGCGTACTGCGGGAATCCACCTAGAACAAGGGAAACAGCTCCAACGGCATTCACAACAAGGCGCTCTAGTCGCTCGTGACGTCACGTTCACTGACGCCACAAAAACTCACGTCTCTAACAAGTGCATTTCAGCTTGGTTTCCCACTTGAATACGTCATCCACAATCCTGGTGTCCAATGCTATAAATAGAAATTTATTTGGGCAGAAAATATTCCCCAAATAAGAGTCACTTTGAGTTAATATTTTTACGCGACGTTGCCGGCCATGTTGGAAGTGAGGGCACCAGTGGTCATACAATTAATGAAATATTTAACTAAGACTCACCAAAAAGTACTGTCCTGCCTATTTTCAGCTGTCACATCTCAAATGGAGATCTGTAGCGCTGCACCTATCAGAATATTCATACTTCACCCTAATAATTGGATAATTTAGGTTGTTGTGGGCTTGAGTATCAAAATATCAACAAAAGAAGTATAGGAAGCCCTGTCTTTATAGAGACGTCAAACTGTGACACGGTTGTGATTCGACATTGATGCGAGCGCACAGCCCAAAGGTATTCCGCCGCTAACAAATCAGCTCGTGACTGCCGCGACCAGCAGCCTCCCGGAGGCCTCTGACTTGTCTTCGGGGCGAGAATCTCTGCGATATTTTTTGTTTGAGTTTTGGTAGCGCTTGCCGCCGAGAGAATCAAGATCCCCCACTGAAGAATTCGAGACTGAATTTGAGTATCTAAAATCTCACGACTGCTATAAACTATTTTTTCGATTGAATGCAGATCTCCAATTGCAACATGCCGGGAAAATCTTGCTTTTAAAACATAGACTAGTGAATCAATTATCTGGATTCTTATTTTTTTACATTACACTCACACCCGACGTCCGCACGGCTTACGACGCTATCACAAAGAAATCAGTCCCTCGTATAAAGTGCCCTTTTTTTAAAGAATATTTTCGGCCTTCAAACGTCCTAATAAATCCTTTGAATCGGGTATGTCCAGGGATTGAGTTCTCCTTCGGCCCACTACGAGAACCTAGCACTCAGGCACACGCGAACATATGCAATGAAAACAACAACAACAAGAGAGTCAGTCAAGGTTCCGTGTATACATCCTGGTCCACGTTCGTTCTTCTCACTGAGGATTGGGTGTGATGAGCACCGGAGCTCGTCGGCAAACTGTGCCCGTCTGAAGTGCGTCGACCACGGCGTCACGGCGTGTAGCGCTGGTCTGCGGCGTGGCCAGGTGCCGCGACGTAGCGACCGAAAGTGCGGCGCCACACCGGATGCTTGGGGAGGGCTTCTGGCAGGGTTGACCGGGGAAGCAGCTCAGTCCCACAAGGAGCACTTTTTCTCGGGGTTCATGGGACTGCCCAGGGGACAGTGGAAGGCCCGCGCGAATTCGTCAAAGTTCTGCAAGGCACCGTTGGACCTGCTCGTGGGCACCGGAAGAAAAAGGCGGTACGTTATCCCCTGGCCTTAACTGGGGTTCGCGTGACCGAAGAGAAGCAAGGAAGCAATGCATTGATCGCATTGGCTCGTAAAAAAAGTGCATCTCCTTTTTCCTCTCCTGTCAATGCATCTAAAAAGATCGAAGTTATCTTCAATTGACGTATTTACTAGGAGTATGCACAAAACGTCATATGAAATATAGGAGGTGGTCCGTTGGCATCGTTCTCTTGTCTGAGCCCAGTGTCGCGCGCCATCGTCCTCTTCCTGCAAGCCAAGTATGCCTGTCTGCTACAGATCCTTGTGGTCTCAACCTTTTTATGATTTTTGCGCTTGTATTGTGTCATTTAATTCGCTCCACTGCTTGCAGTGCGAGTAGACTTTTGCGGATGTATTGTAAGTTTTAGGAACAAGTTTGCCACGTTCGTTGTGTGCTTCGGAACGGCAGACGCGCGTGGGTCCGAAGGTCTTTTTGGGTACAGTATGCCACGGCATTTCGGCGGTATCATGCTCAAACATACCAAGATAAACATACGAGCGACACAGCATATTAATTTATACATTTTTGTGTTACTGCAAATGTCGTATATAGATGACGGGAAATAGTCCACTTTTTCGACATATTATCCATGGCGCCTAATGGACTTGCATAACCTTTGGGGTATGCAACCTTTTTATGCCTTGGCGGACTACTTTCTGGAAGCGCGTCGGACCCGCGCCTTGAATAAAGCTGCTTCCAGCTCATCAATGACTGCGAAATGGAGATCATGGCCCCGCGACTCATGGCTTGGATCGGGCGATTGTCGGGCCGAAAACACGCGTGACTAAACGTCCGACGGGTTGGTCAATGTATCGGAAAGATGGACAAATACAACTGGGCGCCGGCCAATGACGACCTCTCGTATGTTCACCTGACGCCGTGATTGGTGTCACGTGAACCTTCTATGACCTTTTATGGGCACTGAGAATCATACAGTTTTCACGTTGTCATGCCGGTCCTTGCCTGTTACGAATCAATGCAAAAACTCTATAGCAGTGGTTCTCAACCATCTATGTGTCGCCGACCTTTTATGGATCAGCGGAGATGATGGAGGACTCCTATCGTGGTGAAGGGAGGGAAAATGCATAGGTTATATATAAAACTAATTTAATAAATGGATATGATTAAAGGCTAGTGTAAAGTAGACTTCTCGTATTGATATACAAACGAGAAAACTCGCCCAAAAGCAGAAACATTTCTTCTCGATCTGAAAAAAGACAACTTTTATTGCCAATCTTGACTGGTGAGGCAGGGCTTCGCGAACCCCCAGAATGCCTTCGCGGACTCCAAGGGTCCACGGACCCCTATTTGAGAACCACTGCTCTATAGTATTGTAATCGAATAAGGTTGCAATATTGATACCTTGGTAGGTGCAAACTTGGCAGGTGAAAATACGGCAAGTATTCACACGTCTCTAAAAACCGCCACGTCGCTTGCCATTTTTGTTTTCAGCGAAGTCCGAGAGTTAGATAATGCTCACCTGTACTTGCCGGGGCTGTGCAACTCCGACTGATACTTCTTATAACCTTCTTCGTCCACCACCTCGCACCATATCTGCCAGAACCAACATTATGAGTCAGCGAGTGTTTCTGAACACAGCAAGGAATGAGGCGGCACAGTTTATGCGAAGCCAGACTGGCGATGCAGGTACAAAGATCTTACCAAAAGATAATTATTTTCTTCCGCGTTTTCAAGAAAGAATAGTCAAGATTAACATGCTTATGAGGATTCTCGTAAACGGTGCGGGATGCAGAGATTTATTTTTTTATAATGTGACTATGTCTTCTGCATTTGGCATTTTCTCAAATGATAGATTGATACGAGGAAATAAAAAAAAAAAGAAATCAATGCATCTTAGAAACATTAAATGCGCTCGATGAATGAGGTAAGTTGTGTTTTGTACAGCAGAGCCTTGCACTATGTGTCGCCGACCGTCAACAGGAACTCTTCGAGAACCTGAACTGGAAGACCAAGATTTGTATTTCTGAATAATCGTTTTGACGATTTTTTTATTTCTTTTCTGGCTTAGCTAGCGGAAATTATTTCACCAGATGTAGGCTTCAATGAAATAAAATGTTGACCATAACAAAGGTAATTTACCCAAATGTTTACACAATAAGTTTTCAAGATGTTATGCAAAATGGAAGTAAAAATATTTATAAGGAATCTTTACTGTTTTTGGTTCCGAAATCGAGTTTTTTCTCGTGCACGTTGGAAAACAGAAAAAATATTTTTCCATCCCCAAACTTTGTAGCCTTAAAAATTTGCTGAAAACAGCTGGGACATATATTTGCGAACATATGAATACTAATCACGGTATTAGAAAGCTCCCATCGACTGTTACGCAGCTAACAAAAGTAGTGCATCCGACTGTTAGAAGATAAATTTGACAGAGAACAAGTAGGTGCGATCTTTTTACCCTTTTGAAAAGTTTTGACTATTTGGACAACTCAAGCTGACACTTTTGTCATTTCCAAAAAGAAAAGAAGCTATTAAACTAGATGACTGCTTATTCATTCGATTGAATTCAATATGCCCAAATGAATGGTAATTCCTCCACACGCCTTTCTGTCTTATACGGTATCCAGGGATTAGAAATGAACCATGGTAGTTTGTTTTTATTAAGGATATTTTCGGAGACGTTCAGATGACAATTAATGTTTTTAAAAACACTTACCTAATTTATTGTGGAATAATATCCAATCGACATAAATAAAACTTAACAGGTGATGCACTACTGAAGAATGAGTAATGAACATACATATGACAGATACAAATAAATTTCGACGAAGCTGTAGCAATGTCAGCAACTCAGGAAATAGACCTCACGGGGTTAATTTACCCAGTGAACAGAACGCCATTAAAATACATTGCTGCTACCTCTAATAAAAATGACTTGGAAACAGCATCTCGATAATGCAGGGAATAAGGCTAGGAGTAAGAATTTACTTAGGCGAAACCTTAACTTGAAAAATATTGCAAAAGCAGAAATTGTAAAATATTAATTAGACCAATCCTGAAGTATGCTAACACCATATGGTTTCTTCGTACAGAATTGGTGGCGTGGGCAAACACGAAGTCACCGGAAAAGGAGCAATTAATTTTATACCCAACGCATTCAGGAACAAAACTTCTAGGTCGCACTTGCTTGCACAACCCCATTACAATATGTGAAAGTCAAAATACTTGTATTTTGTTTTATGCAAATTGAGTGTTCGCATTGAATTATATTTAACTTTTTGATCTCTCCCGATTCTTGACACTAAAAACACGTGACTGATTAAATAATAGAGATTTAAACAGAATTCTTTGAAATATATGTTGTTCTCTAGGTCAATGCGAGATTGCAATTCGATTGAAAATTCTATAGTCAACTTCTTTCATAGATTTGTAATACTTTCCGTGTTTGGATTGTTATTTTCAAAAATAATACCACTCCTAGCATGCGTCAATACCTATCTGCAGTGTCGCGCTCGACGAAAATCAAAAAACAAAAAAAGAACGGTAACTAACGCAAATGCCTTTGTAAGCCGACAACTCCGAACACATGTCGCATTTCAACAACACGCACAGTTGTGAAAAGCAAAGAAGATTCCGGCGGTGTATCACCTGGGCGTACTGGACAAAGAACACTTGGTCGTTGCTAAGGCCCAAGCCGGGAAGGCGGGGTTCCTCTCCATGCTTCGAGGTCCACCGCTGGTACGCCTGTACGTTGTGCGACAACAAGAGGATTCGATGAGCTCCAAAACTAATATTATCCTTTGTACCACTACTACACCGGAAATATCGAACTGTACGCGTTGCAAATAATGAATTTTGAGTTCCAATCATATTCGAAGCGAATAGTAGTTTTGACTGAATATTTTTAAATCAAAAATTGAATAGACGAACAAAACGTGAAGGCGCAAGTGAGCTGGTGTAAGCTCATAATTGTAGAATTACCCGAGACTGCGGTGACGGCGAAAAAACGAGAGGAAGAAAGAAACAAGTCTCCCTGTCCTTTTTCTGTCGTCACCGGAGTCTCGGGTAATTCTACAATTATTGAATAGAATATTATTCGAAACTATTGTTCGAAAATTATAATGTTTGCTCAACGTAGTAAACTGGAACGTATTTGGTGAGCTGACTCCGAAAAGAGATAGATCCCCACGGACAAATATAATGTCAGAAACTTTTCAGCTAAATTTATCGGACAGTGCTTATATTGGAGCCTCACTTTGTACCGAAACTCAAGAAATACAAATTCTCTGCTCACAGGAGTTTGAAAACCTAAGCATTTTAGCGTAGAATATGTTTTGTTGGCGGTGCGATCATTCTAAACAATGGCCAACTTTCTGGCACATTCCGTGGAATAAGAAGTTTTCGATTAAATATCAAAATTCGAATTGATTTGCGTTTTACGGTAGCCAGGCAATTAGTGTCCCGGGTAACATTTTGTCAAGAAAAGCAGAAATGAATAATTTTGTGAATATCGTTCATAGGATTCAATGCAAAAAAACATTGTAGAGCCGTGGAACAAAAACTATACGCTTCCAAAAGTTTAATTACTGCTTACTGATACTCGATGACTGTCATCTAAAATATTCGTGGGGAACATTACTGTTTGTTGTTGTTCAGTTGAAATTATCATTTTAGTGCATGCGCCAAGACGTTGATGCTCAAGAAAGTTGGGGATGCAGAAACGCAAAGTCACGGACAAGATATAACTTTACAGAGAAATTTAACGCCAGGAACACATGTAATGTCACTTGCGTAGTGTGCATTATTTTTCCACTAGATGTAGTGGGGAAGCTTAACGGCTAAATAAATTTAGCAGGGAAGATTTCTCGTTCAACTTAGTGGGCAAGGTTACCCGTCGCATGACGTGACAACGTGACCTGACGTCACGGTGTCATTTAACACAGTGACATCTGTGAGGGTATATGCATAGATGGGAGCCTACGCATTTTTTAGTGTTAATTCTTTAGGGAAGACATATCTTGCTCATTTAAAGATATTCCCCGCGGCTTAACATTGTGTAATTTCGGTGATAAAAAAATTGCGGCCGGATGTTTCTCCTTCAGGGGTGGGTTAACGGTTTCACTCGATCATTTATGAAATCGATTCGTCGCAATGGCAACCTATATGTAAGCATATCTTTGCACAATCTTTAATTCGTTCAGGCCTTGTGTTTCGCCTTCTACTGCCGACATGCGCGATCAAAGTCGTCGTTGTGGTCCTCCTTCCACGATTGGCGAAACATGAGCTATATTTAGGCTGTCTTGAGTATGATGTATTCTACTTTCATCGGTGGAAATAAGAGCAATTTTAGACTATCATCTTAGGCGGTGCTAGTTTAAGGACCCGATGATTCTAAGCTTACGCCTTTCTCTTTATACACACCATCAAAATAGTCGCTGGCAATCAATAATCCCAGTCGTGACGACACAAATGAAACTATCACGAGGAGGCACCGGAACGCCTGATTGCAAATATAGTTCTCTCTACGAAAAAAATAAATAAATCTGAGGGGTCTTCGCTCATTGCCACCATGCACTCGTTAGTCCCATAGCCTCTGGCATGGCGGCCGCCATGTAAAGTTCATCAATAGGAAGTGATTCTAGTAATTCACGTTTTTTATTGCATATCAATACCATCCCCAACTTGCAATAGATGTATTCACAACGAACTGAAGCCGAAAATATACATAACAAACGAGAGAGTACTGCAGTTCACAAGCTCCCACGTAACACTGAAAGGGTTAATGGAACACTGGAGAAATTTAATAGTTTTTGTCGACGTTTTGTACTGTTTTTATCTATCTCCATAGAAGAGTCGATAGATTGAATGGAACACATATAACTAGATAGGAGAGTAATTAGTGATGATTTCGGCACGACTCGGAATGACTAAATGTTTACAGATAAAAAAAAAGTAGAAAACGCATTAACAATATAACTTACGGGGGAGGAATACACAATTATGTTCTGAGCGTAAAAGGTAAAACCAAAAGGACTGAACGTTTGAAGGGTTTGGAGAGCATAATGAATTCTCAAGTAGTTTGAGGATTGGGCGAGATGATGCCTGATCTGGGAGCTGCCAGTGCTTGGAGATGTGAACTTAAAACAGCGCAGCATAAATAATGGTTCAGACATCTGCGCTTCCACTGGAATGCGTTTCGCGGACTTCATTTGTCAGAGCAACTTGTAGCAGCATCTAGTCGTAAGCGGTCATAGGTTGTAGTAACGCTGTCAGTCGTACTTAAAAGAAAACGTCCGAATACCTCTATAGAGGCTTATCGGAAAAAAGGTTAATCATTCGTAAGCTAAAACGTCTCTCTTGAATACCTAATAATCCTTCGCAGTAAGAAAAAAAAATCTTTCGGGGTTACCCGGAAGCTCGTCTTTACTTACCCGATACGCCTGCTTTACCGCCGTTGAGTCGCAGATGTTTTCCTCCAGCGTCGTGTTCCCGTTCACCTGGGCCACAAGAAGTCCGTCAAGGACGTGTCAGAGTTTCACTAGTAGAGGTCGAAACATGCTTGTGTTCTCATCAAGATTCGGCAGGCGTTACCTGCCTTAGCTGACTGAGATTAGCCAGGTAAAACCGCAATTTTTTCAGTCAAATAAGATGTCTGCAAGAGTTGCTCTTCTATAGTGGAAATTACGGTTTCAAGACTTAGCTTTGTTGCTTGCGTTATTTCGACGAAAGGGTGCCACACGTGGTACCAATATGTACCAATATGTATAGACTGACAAGCGGATAAACTGACCTCGATGTTGTTGCAAAATCTCCATTTTACGCTTCCGGCAGGGCATAACAGAACTTCCGGCAAGGCAAGCAGAATAGCAGAGCCTGCTATGCTGCTTGAATTAAGACTACTTATAACGCTACCTTGTTAGTAGTGGTTGTTGATTACAAAAATCATACATATTTTTTTCGCAATAAAAGTTTAATCAATGGCGCTCCTGACCTTACTGTATTCACGTATAGATTTCTGGGTTGCGAAGTTAAAATTCACAGGGTCTCTTATAATATCCCCAAGACGACTTGAAGGCGAAGGCCCAAGCGCCGATCCCACTGATGGCGGACCTCCGAAGACGGCGCTCTCTCTGACGACGCACTTTTGGCGCCTTTAATCTCACAGCATGTCGCATGCCCGTTCTTCACCGCTGCCCGAGCGGGAGTGTCCTCTCCCGCTGGCTTTGCGCCGCGCGCGCCTCCGCCGATTCTGGCACAAGTAACGCCATCTCGCGGTCCAGCGGCAAACCATGGGTTTTGGTAACTTTCGTGTCGCCAATGTGTTATCGCTATGAGACATATAAGGCTTTCGCCTTAATAAATAAGCCTATCGTGTCATACTTTATTTGCCGTGTAATTTCTCAATCAGTTGTTCAGTAAACACTAGACCGTTCTATACAGCGAGCAATTTCGTCCGCTTCTTGAGTAGAGTGTAGTACCCACTACATTCTACCAATCAGAGCGAGCCAGGTCGTCGTTTGCTCCTTGCCCAGAGGGAACAGTGGCGTCAGGGTCAGGCGTTCGCGTGCGGAACTCCCAGAGAACTACAGAGAGAAACTTCAGTTTCCCGCGAATTTCCTACCTTTGGCAACGTGGACTTCGCAGGGTACACTGTTTTTGTCAAGTAGCAACTAACAGACGCGATAGAGCGAACAAAGAGAACATGGCCGAAATGTGCATATATTGCTCCCCACAGAAGAGGAAAGAGATACGGGGCCGTAGCCTCGTTGCAAACGTTAAAAGACTGATTTTGGTTGATTTGCTCTCCGTATAGGATTGTCACAGGCATCAACTTCGTCGCTGTCAAATTGAACCTCAATAATTTAATAACGTGATATTTGCTTTTTTGTGTAAAAGACTGATTAGCCCAGCGGAGCTTGTCGTTAGCAGAGGAACGCTGACAACAGAAATGCAGCAGACAGGATATTTGCGATCATAAACACCGAGACGCACGTCTGTCGCGGCTAAAGTTTTCACGGCTCTTGGCGACAACGAAAAGTCACTGACGTAGACTCCGGGCTCCTTCAGCGGGAACTGGGAGAACTGGTCGACGAAGCAGCCCGCCCTCTGCCGGAGCTGCTCGAGGGCATCGTCGGGCCACCAGTTGCTGAAGTTGCCGTGCTTGTCGAACTTCTTGCCTGCGCAGAAATGTCAGAAAAAGACGGTGGGTTCGTCATCAATGGCAGCTTATGATGGGAACATCATGGGGAGCTATTGACCCTGTGAGTGATGAGGTCACACCATGGCGCTCCGCTCCAAGTAAACCGTTTCTAGGGCCATTGTTATGTACAAATGCATGGAGGCTCGACGTGAGGTTTGAAATTGTCTGATAGAGAAAACAAAATACATTTTTTTGTAAGCATTGTGTCATGTCAATATCTAATTGTGGGAACTTTTTCTATTGTCTCAATACCATAAAGCGATGACAAAAGCCCGTAATAAAGTTTCACAATCGGTTTCGCCTCGCTAGCGGACGACACGATAGCTTCGCGGGTTCAGTGGTTTTTGCTGAGGGAGTACGCAACTGCGTTGAATGCAGTTGGTGATGATCGAGGAAGCAGCTCTTCTCGGGGTCAGCTTTCTGTGGCATTTCCGAAGCGAATTGAGTGCCCGTACACAGCTTTGATCGACGTTCGAGGAGCGCGAGCACGCGAACGTCTTCCTGTGGAGGCCGCTTCCGCAATATTTGAGAAGGAGAAAACGCTGTGAAGCCGAATCACGTACGACGACGACGTGAAGTGTATCAAGGTCGAATTCCAGGCTTGCACACGTTTTAGAGATTTCTGACAGCACAGCTCTTTAGTGCACATTTGTATGATCAAACGAACAAACTGTAACATATACAGGGTGTTTCACGAAAGGTAGACAAAGTCGATATTGCGTAAACTACGCATATCGCACCGAAGAAAGGCTTGTGTCGTTTTGGTCCTATACCTCGTCTCACCCTACGATGGATTAAAGGCAAAAGGTACGGACCGCCAGATCCAATCACGAGCTACTGAGAAATTGTGCGGTATTTCGCTTCGATGCACGTATCGGTGCCCGCGTCTCGGATCACTAATGAGGGGACAGGTGGACAGTGGTTTGAATCGAAGAGCACTGAGTGACTCAACAATTTTACATCGCAAATAAAGTTACGAGATTATGGCTCTTTGCAGCGTCGAAGATATAGAAATGATGCGACGCTTTTGGATTCGAGCATTATTCGTCCACCCCTAATCAATGTTAAACGTGTCATAGTATAGCGTGGAACATGATTGGACCCGGCGGCCCGTGGCTTTGGCCTTTAGTACATCGTAGGATGATACAGACTATAGTCCAGTGGCCTATTTAGGAAAATTAGTAAAGTTCGGGACAATTAAGTTGTTAATTATTTTCGCGTGATTAATTTTTTAAACATTGAGTTTAAGGGCATGGTTTCAGTTATAATATTGGTGAGCATCATCGAAAAACACTAAATCAACAAATTGCAGAACAATATAAGGCACGCGCGGTATTTTACGGCTTTCAGAAAAACCACACAAATTCGCCGGGTTTTTAAGTTTCGGTTTACTATCGGAGCGCATCTCGGGCCGGGCGGCACCGCGCCCCGTGGGGAGATTGGGGAGGAGATCAAACAGTCACTCCACTAGCGGCATGCTGCAGCTGTGTGGATCACAAAGCTAATTTTATTGTTTGTTGTTGTTCAGAGAAATCGAAGATGACGATTCGAAGGCCGTTCCTCGTGCGTCCAAAGCACTGGTCAAAGCGAAGCGCTCGTACCCAGACCGTGCTAGGCGAAGTTCAATTCGTTTTCTTTTTTTGCTGTGTTAGTAAACACCGCGCTGTGTGGACAACAAGCTCGATAAAGCGCCCGCTATAGTTCGATCTCCTGCTCAATAGTGCAACCACCCTCTGCTGCGTCGCGCGAGGACAGCGCAGCAGAGGTTGGTGGCACTATTTCTCCACAGGGTGCGGTGCCGTCGGTGCCGAGAAGCGCTCAGATTGCAAACCGAAACTTAAAAACCAGTCGAAATTGTGCGGTTTTTCAGCAAACCGTAAAATACCGCGCGTGCCATCTATCGTTCTGCAATTTGTTGATTTAGTGCTTTTCGATGATGCTCAGCAATATTATAACTGAAACCATGCCCTTAAACTCAATAATTAAAAAAAAAAGTAATTACGCGAAAATAATTAACTTAATTATCCCGAATTTTACTAATTTTCCTAAATAGGCCCCTGGCCCAGCTTGTTTAAGAACGGAAGTCACGAGCTCTCATGTTCGAGCTCGGGCTGTGTTGAAGAAGACAGCGATCGTTTTTTGGCAGTCACCGCACTTTCGTTGTCGAGATTCCTGCTGATGAACGGTGCGGCCGCGGAAACGACTCCGTGGTGTCCACACTTGAGGGTGTTTCATAGTTTCGGCCTCACGGTGGCGACACGGTTCGAGCTTGAGGCGAATTGGTAGTCCTCATCTATTTATTTATTTATTCATATTTTATACTGTCAGCCCTCTTTAGGGCTATTAAAGGGGTGGAAAGAAAAAATACAAGAAAACGTGAAACGACATCACCCACGTGTAAACAAAACACATAAAGACTATACATACTATTTTTAGATCACAAGAAGGAACATAAGATTGAATAATTGCTGAGACAAGAAAACTAACATTCCAATTAGTCGCACAAACAACATGATCGGTTTCATTTGGAAAGCGGAAACGTAAAGGGAGTGGTTGTAGAGTGAACCATATTGGTACTCTAGTGCTACGATTACCGCTAGGTCGTTGACGCTCTTGGTGTGAATGCGCAGCGTGCAAGAGGACGGGGACGCCACAAAGAATGACTCCCAGACTTGGAGAATCGACCTTTGTGGGCTCCATTGGCCGGAAGCATTTCAGCATGAAACCGCGTTGCTGAGTGGGACGTTTTTATAGTTGCGTTAATTTTCAGACTTCGATTCATCGAAGTTTATGCGCAAAATTATAGGATTTATCTCAAGTGGCGCAGACGATAGTGCCACAAGTGGCGCATAAGTTGCTGACTTACATGTGAAACACGAGGAAGGTTGACCTAGTTTTAAGGTACAAAGCAGTTTATGTTCACCACCAAAAGTGTTAACATTAAATAAAAAAAGTACAGCATAAATAAATATGGCCGGAATATTTTTTTCCTTCAACCGTTTTTAAGGTTCCGGTGTATCGCAACGACTGATAATGAATATGCAACGTCTAAGAAGACATGAAAAAATGTACAGCCATTTCTAAATATAAATTTAAATATGATTCTATAATGTCCGAAACTGGGAACAGAAAGAAAATGGACAAGCACACACACCGCCTCAAATTTTAATAGGAAATCGGTTCACCAGGTCGCCTCCTTTTTTATGGTTATTAAATATTATTAAAAATAATAAAAAACTGATTCAAGCTACCTCAAATTTATAGTGAAAAGCGGCCTTAAAATGCAAGCTTTCACCCTTGCTGGTGTTAGACTGGTGGCAGCTGATAAAACCTGTTTGCTCTACTGACATGTAACCCCTAATTAGCTCAGTTTTTAAAGCGCTCCATTGGGAATGAAGAGATCCCGGGTTCGATGCCCGGAACTGGCGGATTTTTTCGGTCGCTCACCAGTCACCTAGCTGTGTTTGGAGATTGATGTTTGTCCTTTGTCCCCCTTGTTCCCCTTCTTCAGAGATTATTATCGTCAACCTTTTATGAGTTATCGAAAGCGAGTAGTACCTAAAAACAAATAAATTTAAACTATTTCTGCAAAATGGAACATGATATATTTTTTTAAACATTATACCACCACGAGCAATAGGCGGCCTAGGCCCGTTTGCCCGAAGCGCGGGATGTTTCTCCGAGGGTATAACATTCACGGCTGGGTCAAGTCGCTGCTACAGCAAAGACCTGGAGGCCCTACTTTCGTCAAAATGAACGCAGCTAGATAGTCTTAATGTGTCAAGACAAAAAAAAAAAAAAAGCAAAAGTGAAGGCGTATGCTTTCTAAATGTAGAGCCATGTTGTTGCCGCGTCAAGCAAAAAACGACTTAGGACAACTGCGTTTGAAGTTGATGACCGTCCTCCGCAGAATTTAATGCGAGTCAAATAACAGCTGATTGTGCTATTTGCTTCTCTCTAAAATTCTATCAAGATATGCTATAATTTTGAATTTGTAATTGTAGTATGTACGAATTAGAAATACCTGATGTGTAAACGAGAACTTTTATTTTCTCGTTGAGGATTGGTTTGAAAGAAACGGACGCCTGGATGCCAACACGTTTTGGGAAGCACGGGAAAGTCGCTACAAGCGTGGGTGTAATGTACAAAAAAAAGCTTGGTAAAAACAAAAAAGTTTTATAGCTCTTGTCATGCGTGAATGCTTCTCCCTGTGACACATCGCCGCGTAAATGTGTGCGCTTGATCTGAATGGCGCCTGTTACAGAAAATGGGTGAAAACCGGCAACATTTTCTCATTGAAATTTTTGGAAACATCATGACTTCTAACTGTGCAAACTATTATCTTTTAAACTTTAGCATCCTGATCGGAGAAGCGTTCGGCAATGCAAAAATAAAAATAAAAATTGTAATATCGTTTTTAAGATTCCCTTACATGAAGGTGGTGGGCAACCGGGTGATCCCCAGCGTTCGACCAGAATGCCCACATGTTAAATCGCCTCTCGTGATTTCTACCTCGAGGTGGCGAAGCGTTATCAGCCACGCGAGCAGCGATCCGCCGCTGATAAAAGGACGGCACAGAAATATGCGCAGGTATTTTTGAAGTCACTGTGCGTGGCGATAACATTCAACAAATGACCGTATTGTTGGACCAGTGGGTTGTGTCAGTTTCCGAGGACGTAGCAGCAAGGAAAATCCCCCAATAATGTTGCCCGTTTAGAGTTACCGATGTGTTAGTAAATTTAAGAACTCAATCATATCGTAACAAAAGAAAACAGATACTACAATACGTACAACTCTTGCCCTTTCAGGGATTTTTGATTGATTTAATCGAAATAAAAGCCACGGTGCTTTATTTCGGCATTAGTCCACGCAAATTCATTATTTCGAATGAAAATTCGAATACATTGAGAGTTTTAGACGCACATTGACATTGAGATCTTCGTGACATTTTGTAACGTACGGTGTCTTGAAGTTGAGGTTTAGACTAAATTCATCGTCCGCACATTTAAATTGATCCCCTACGGCTAGTCGCTATCCCAGAACGTGACGATAGACGGGGTTGCTTACCGAAGCCCGCAAAGCCGTGCGTGATCTCGTGGCCGATGACGACGCCTATCGTGCCGAAATTCAGGTACCTGCAAAATACCAGAAGCAAGGTGACACTTTACCAAGGTGATGACATCAAGTGATTCCGTGAAGCGCCATTCTTTTATTTTTGTTTCTCTGGAGTACGAGAGAGTGTATCTCCTGCTTCAAGCACCTAGGTTTGACTGGTAACATTGCCGCCGTTTTGTGCAACGCTCTTTTGTTGAATGTTGCCTTGATCGCGTTGTGGGTGTCGTTGCTAAAGGATGTCACCTTAGAAGAACTTAGAAGCAGCCTTTCTTCCAACCGTTGCCTAAACAAGACAGAACATTAGGTGACTAAACGCATTACAGGAGGAAGCTAATACAAAAAGAGGGCACTTAAGCAGAGGTGGCCGAATAGTGGTTCAGATCGAAGAGCGCCGCGTCATTCATATCCTTCATAGTTCTAGAAATTCCAAGACACACTGTTTCTCTCTGCAGTGTTAAAGCTAGGAATGACTCTATGCTATTCGAATCAAAGGATTATTCACCTACACCAACAGTTAGGCAGAAAAAACTAAATAAAAAGAAAGCTTTTTAAAGTTTAATATAAACATTTTTTATTAAAAAAAAAATCCACTAAAAATTTAGCAAAACATTGACGTCGCCGGACGCAATTTAGATGGAAGTAGCCCTGCTCTAGTCCCCGCCCATTAGCGAAAGGTTTTTAGCTAGCTACGCTTAATTTCTCGGCTCTCATTGACTGGAGAGATGATTGACGCGTGAAGTGTTTGTTGTAAAATTGTGTCTCCTTGGCATGGTTAGAGTTTTATTCGACATAATTTTATGTTTGAGCAAAAACTAGATAGATCAAATCATTACTTTTTTTAAAAATGTCACGAGATCGCCTTTTCGGCGTCACTTTCAAACGGTAACAGACACTGCTGCCAGCGGTTTCGGCGAGCGGTTTATAAACCGCGTAATTCGTTGGGTTTCGTCTATTTGAATGAATGCGAGTCGTTCGGGCACTCATCGAAGTGTTTAGCAGAAGATATCCTCAACCGACGTAGTTTTCAGCAAACAACTGTCACAAGTAGACGCCTTCGAAAGCGCAGTGCGGTTGCTTGTATTCGTAGCGGGACTCCCATGCGAAACGGCGCCGTGTTGTTTGAAGACCGGTGGCGTCGCAGCGTTTCCATAGGAACTAAGCCTTTTTGTTTCTTTACTTTTTCCTCAGGTAAGTTTGCTCTTTGCAAATTTTACGAAAAAAAAATGCACCATTTGTGGGCAACGCTGCACAAGGGCGTAGCGCGATAGGTTAAGAAACCGAATTTTGCGGTCGATTTAAAGAGCCTGGCCTCTCCTTGAATCACCCTGTATAATGTTCCTCTCAAAGAACGTTTATTACTTCCAGACCATCACATTCTTGATAGACATGATCCTGCTCACAAACTTCGCTCAGCGTACTGTAGTACTAACCAATTTCGCGACTCCCAGTTACAGCTCGCCATTTCAGAATGAAACTCTTTATTTCAGTGTATAGTTGAAATTGCAGACAGAGCAAATTCCAAATCTTGATGTGCAATATTATTCCACATTATGTCGGAATGAATCTCCCGCCTCATACAATGGCCGAGAGGGCGCTTTGAGGTATATTAAATAAATAAATAAAAGTCACTTGACACACCGATTCCCTCTCTACTCCCACTCCGCTCTTCTCCCTTCCCTCTCCCTCCCTCTCTCAAACCCACCCTCAACCTCCTACAGTCCCCTCTTCCCCTCCCCATCTGCTTCCCTTTCGCTCCCTCCCTCTCCCTCTTCCTCCTTCCTCTTTCCATCTCTTTTACCCCCCCCCCCCCCCCCAAACAGTGTCCTTGCCCTCCCTAACAATTCTCCTTCCTTCCCCCTCCCTCTTTCTCTCCGGTCACGTGACACATCACATCAGTTTCCCCAAAATTGATCAAAGATATAGGTTTTTTCACTTGCGAAACGACAGTTTAATGACTTCATAACAATTGAAACAATCGCTCCTAAAAACTGCATTTTATACATGATAGGACGTAAATGTTGCTGCCATTTTTTATGCGAATGTCATTATGTCAAGTAATTCAATTACACAAGTAATCTGATTACGTTTGTGAGTAATTAAAATACTATAAACCAATAATAGTTTACACACTCCTTTCATTTTGTTTTTTGTCGCAAAAACGGACATAACATTTTTTCCCAAGGATGGGTTCTGTGAATAACGCGCCATGCCATCGAGTGCGTTGTCTCAGACCAAACAGGGTTTATGATGCCTGAACTAACCTAGTTCCGTCTTCGGTCATTATTGAGCTGCTTATTCATTTTCATATTTCTGCCGAAATTTTAAGAGGGCACTAAAGTTGACTTCTAGTCGGTCTTTCTACGGTGGTTCCTCAAAGTACGCGCAGTAAGCGCCATAAAACTCGAAAATAACGACCGTGCGTAGCCTTCTTTTTTTTTTTGCAAATAAAATCGAAATAAAAATAAAAATCATTATATTTATAATTAACTGAGAAAACCACAAAAAGCGAAGTTAGGTGGTGCAATAGATAACAAAACTTTTGCTGGAACATTGTAATAAAAAGAGCACCGAGACCTAAGGCACCAACAGAAGACCGCACGCTTGGCACGAGTTCCCCGATTCTCAGTCTCGAGGACGGAGGATTCACCAGCTTGTTTCTCGCTCCTACATTTAAGAGAAAAACAACTGCGTCATTCCAGTCTTAAGAATAGGAATCTTAATTTTTTTTTCGATCTATATGAAGTCAATATTCTTATATCGAAAGGAAAGAAAAATTGTTACAATTGATTGAACCAATGAGATGTATGACTTACACTGGTAAATAAAATAAAGGGAGTGAAAAAAACATTATAGCTTTCAGGCGTGCCTTCCCCCCCCCCCCCCCCCCCCCCTTTGAAATGCCCATATCTCCAACAGAAACATTTGTCATGTATTTACTGAGCTCTTGGAACACTGCTCTTAAAGGGGGTACAACTATGTTAGCTGTTACAGCTTTCAAGACGTTTCTGTTGGCACCCTTTCGGATAATTTCATCAATACAAAAAAAAAAAAGGAATTCTCTGCATTGAGCATTGAATACAAAAGAAGTAAACAAAGTATGGAGCAAGTACGTTCATTGGCACCTGAGTACAAAATTCTTATTGATACCCCAGTGACGGGGGACTACTCAGTATCATAAATGGCATCGGTATGCGGATTGAAAGCGCAGTGTTAGGCAGAATTTACTACTGAAGGATGCTAGTAACATACTAGTGACTAAAATACCGATAAAGAGAAAAGAGTTATATTCTTTTGTCCTTCGCACTGCTCGCCCAGAAACTTGATCTTGTCAAAACTTCTCACAGAAATGGAGAGAGGGTACGGAGAGGCCACGAAGGTATTGAGTCTGATGAGGGTGGGAAAGCAGGAAGGTGGGTGCCGCTCAATTGATTGTTACAGAAAAAGATAATACGCTTGCTAAGCACGACGCGGGAAGTCACGTGACATCGTTTAGAAGTTGCTCTTCTGTCAGTGGAGGAGCACATAAAGTTCGCGACTTCTTTGTTTTGTGTTTTTTTTTTAATTTATAGACGACTTACTGTGGTCTGTTGAGAGTCAGCATGGGGGAACGAAGGATCCCAAGCGGGTAGACTGCGGAAGAGAAAGTGGTAGAATGGAGGTCAGACTCACTTTTCTTTTGGCATATTTGTGGGAAGCTAGTGTGCTCAGAAGGGGGGTGCAAACACACTCACTCGCATAGTTGCCACGAATGTCATAATATGCATTTACAACCAGGGGATTAGTAGCCCACTCTCTGGAAAAAAAAAAAACGGCGCAAATTTAGGGAGAGCTGAACACTATGTCATGCACTCTGGTGATAGCGGCCTGTTATGGTTCCAACTAAAATAGTGACTTATTTAGCAAAATATATAAGCGCAGGTCAATCGCATCTTTATAGAAAGATCGATCAGTGGCGGAACGCTGTTTGAAGGAGAAATGCTGCTTCCAGCCTGTGTCACAACAACGGAGGTCAGCTGAACGTGTCTTTAAGGGCAGAACTTAAAGCTGGGAATAAATATCGATGTTTTATTTCTCCAAAGAAAGAAAAACATATTTAACGATGTAGTTTATGAAGAACGTAAGACTAAATAGGGTTCTCAGTAGTGATCAGCTTTTAAATGTTTATCAAACTTTGTGCTACAGCCAAATAAATATAAGAAAATGTGTTTTCACAGCGCTGTATAATTGAGGCGCTCTACTGAAGCGCTCTGTAATTGAAGCGCTCTACAATTGAATGTGAAATCAACCAACGCCAAACAACTTACTTTTCTTTGTCGACAGGCTTCGTTATTTTTGAGAAGTCCCTGGCAAACTCAAAACGCCGAACTTTGAGGATATTCACCAGGAAGTGGTCGTCGTCGATCTCAAGCTGCGGGAGCAAAGGTGTTTTAATGTTAGATGATGTTTGAAAAAAAAAACACTAGGGCTTGGCGGCGTTTAAAAGTTTAAGCCCGATTAGTGGCCACGCATAATCGATTAATTATTCGATGAATCGGTTTCGTTTCTTTTTATGCATAAAATTTAAAAAGAAAAAAATTTTTTTTGTTGAATGTGTGATAAATGGTGCAATATACACTTTTGATTAGGAAACTTCTACACGTGGTTGAGAACAACCCAAAGACACTAAGACTTACAAATTATTACTTCAGCTGCATGAGGCAAAGAGGTTCGTTGATATTCACCGTCAAGAATGACCTCCTGTGATTGTTCCCAATAGTCTCTTCTGCGCTAAACGGACACTCGGAAAGCGTTGAAGTTGCCGAGACACGTGCAACCTTGTGCAGTTGTCAGGTGTTAGAAATCTCCCTCATACAGTTTACTTTATTTTAAAGCTGGCGTCACACTGCTCGAATACAGCACACAAAAGAGAGTCTGCAAACACGAGTCTCCACAGTATCGGTGGTTCGAATGCCGCCTGCCAGGTTTCCTCCTTGAAGTCATTGCCCTGCGGCATTCGAAGCACGGATCTCGCGGTGACTTGCCTGTGAATCCGTATGCAGACTGCCTTATCTATGATGTATAAGACTGTGACCCCAGCTTAAAATGTTACCTAAAGTTTGCTCTTCATTCAGGTGTACTCGCTAACGTATGCTTGGTGAAAGCGATTAACTTTTATTTTCTTTTGATTCCACAAAATTTACCGATTAACCGGTTAAAAGATTTGCGATTAACGCATCAATCGACTAATCGGTAGGTTAATCGATCAATTGCCCAGGGCTAAAAAACACGGTGTAGTTGATAAACCCTTTTAACCTATATGACACTACAAGCCTAAATGTGCACCCATAGTATAGTGGAAGTGGGTGCTTTATCATCTTGTTACCCTGCCAACTTTCGGTTGTAGAAAGAAAAACCATCTCCCCACTGTATCATTCTTGAATAAACGGAAATGAATGTTGCCCCGCACACCAAGATGGGATTAGAACGACTGCTTCTTCGTCGTTTTTTATTAATTGAACGCGGTGCTATACTCTTGGTACATCCTCTTTCCTCTAAAAAAAAAATTTCGCGAGATTAAAATTACAAACACGTTAAAACTGAAAGGAAAACAAGGAACTCGGTAACTGTTGGGGCGCCTTAACATCTGAGTCTCCGCGGAGGCCGTCTACTTCTGCCTCATCTGCGTGATGTGTGCCCCTGCTGCGTCTGAGCTTGCTGTGCTTCCTGGTCATCTGTATCTTCATCTGTACAGTCTGATCGAGGGGATTCTGGTCTCTCGTCGTTTTCCGGTCCTTAGTCGTAGTTGCCTTCTGTTGTTCCTGAACAATATTCTTCGTCAAAGTTCAAGAGATGCTGCCAGTTGCGACGGAGCATCTTCCCATCATCTGTGGGGACGATGTACGATCTTGGAGCGACCTAGGACTGTACAGATGCTTTCGTAACCCACATTTAATTCTTTAGGATATGGACGGTGTCTCCCGGCTGCAGTGGCTTTATGTGTCGTCCTTGTTTAGATATACGGACGTGTTTTTCAAGAGCCCAGACGCTGGTCTTAAGGTAAAGTCTGGAACCAGGGTTAGAATACCGTGGCCCATCAAAAGCTCCGATGGTGAGTGACCGTCTTCCAGTTTAGCTGTGCGGTATCTGAGCAGACCTAACCGGTCGTCCTCTTCAGCTGACTGCGTCTTGCCGAGTAGCGACTTGACCACTTGGACCTTTTTTTCGCTAGGCTTGACATTGTATGAATAAAATCATGGGGCTTGACATTGTATGAATAAAATCATACCTCACAGGACAAGGCTAATGTCTTTTGCAGAAAACTGCGGAACTCCGTCTGTGCAAACTTTCAATGGTATTCAATGACCTGCCAAACATTTCAGAAAGTATGAAGATCCTGCTCAATTACAAGTTTTGTCATGAAGCTCTTCCACTTCTGGATAATTGGAGTACGCGTTATACACAACTGGGTAATGTTTCCGAAAAAGATAAAACAAGTCTGCCCCAACCCGACCCCAAGGATGATAAAAAACTCCACTTGTATGCAGATATTCATTTGAATATTTGCATGTAAAAAGTTGGCAGGTCTCGGATCTTCTGATTAGTGCAGTAATATTTGCGTGTATGCCTGTCCAGCAAACCAGGCTCCTTGCTTTGATTTACACTTGTTGAGGGCTAGACAACCGTAGAGTATTATTTTAGGCTTTTTTTTTTTTTTTGCGCATTGCTGCTGGAATTATTACCTTGTTTCCTTTCGACAAGACCCCACGACGACTGAAAGCTCTGTCATGACGGACTTAAGCTCGCACAGAATCCGAATACCCACTTCTAAGCAGGCAATCGCCTCCTGCGAAACCGGCTTGATCACTGTGGCTGCCTGCGACTGCCTAGGGTCCGGCTGCCTACTAGTCTCGAAGGCGCTGCATTGGCATATATTTCGACGTCGGTCATGCTGTCGTCGGCTTGAGATTCACAAGAGATGTAAGAAAGTGTGTATACTGTCACCAGCTTCTTTCCAGGAACGAACTGTAACTCCAATTCAAACTTAAGCAAACGAAGAAATAATCTTTGCAACCTTGGTGGCGGGTCGCCTAAGTTTTTCTTCAGAAAAGCGGTCAGGGGCTGTTGATCTATTACAAGAAGTAGTTTTGTTCTTAGTACGAATTCAATAAATTTCTCGGATTGAAATACAATCCCAGTCTTCTATTAAATCTGTGGATGTCTACTCTCAGTGACTTTGAGTACTCGTGAGGAGTACACAATCACTTTCCAATTCTTCCCATCATGCTGGAACAAGCCAGCACCGAGAGCATATGCATAAGCATACGCATATAGTGATACTTCGGTAGGTCGAGAAGAATTAAAAGTTGTCAGAACCGTGACTTCAGTGTGTAATTTTTGCAGCTGTTGCCATTCACCTTCATGCACATCCTGCCATTCAAAAATAGTCTCGTCACATCAAGTGACGTAACGACTCTGTCTACGTTGACAGTTTGAGCGAGTACTTTGCAAGATAGTTCACAGAAAGTGCTTCACAGCAAGTGCAAGATAGTTCCCAGCAAGTGCAAGATAGTTCACACATTTCACCAGTTTTGTACTTAGCTTAATGACAACTGCTCTTATTTGATCTCCTAAGTAGGTAGCTTGTCTGACCCTAAATATGCACTTCTCCAAGTTAAGAGTCCTTCTGCATGCATGACATGGAGTGCAGCACGCAAGCGTCTGTCATGCTCTTCTAGTGTTGTGCGGCAAATCAAGGCGTCGTCAATATGAAGTCGGACGCCTCGAAGGCAATCTAAATGATAGCTCATGTGTGTTGAAATACTTCTGTAATTGAAGCGAGTTCAAACGGCAGTCTAAGAAATCTGCAGCAACTTGAGGGAGCGCTAGAGGTGCATATTCTACATGTACTGCCACCAAACGGTATTTGATTTAAGCCGCTGTTGGTGCCGAAACGGCTAAAATATTCCGCAGGCGCCAAGCCTGCTTTGATCTTTTCTCCCCGAGGCAGTTGAAAATGCTTTCGCTTGAGTGTTTCGTTAACGTGACACGAATCCCTGCACACACATATATATATATATATATATATATATATATATATATATATATATATATATATATATATATATATATTTATATATATATATATATATATATATATATATATATTTTTTTTTTGCGTTGTGTCATTAAGAGGTTTACCCAGACGGAAGACTCTTGTGCCTTCGCCATGACACCTCCACTTTCCATTCGGTCTAGATTCGCCCTCGGAGGCACTCCGAGTACATGCGCCACTCTGTGAGCTGGTTCTACCACAGGTGTGGAGTCTTCACAACATCTTGTAGGTTGTAGGCTTTCTTTGTGCAACCGAGACCACGGAAGAGACCCGGGAACTCGCGCTAGACTTGTGGGCACTTCTGATTTTCGTTATCCACTGTGTTGACCCTGATGACCAAGTCAAAGTAGTCTCACACATTCAGATTCATGATGGCTTGCCGTTCCTTCTTCACTATAAAGAAATCCATGACTCCTTGTTTGCTGTTGGCAGATGTCAACTATCGGACTTCTCCTAGATGTTGGATGATGCCACTCCGTAGCTGGGAAGGTTGCAGCCGTGGGTTGAGGTCGCTGCTTAGCTTTTATCTTTACAAAAAGTGTGAGTGGCAGTAGATTGCTTTGTGTATCGGTGCATTCTTTAAGCTCTACTTGCTTCCCTCCTCTCATAGTTGTGATGGTCCAGTCACGGTTGCTTGGTGATTGTAAGCTGCCGGTTCCCAATATATCGTGCACATCAAAATTTGCCGTCTGACTCTGGTTTCTTCGAAGCCATGAACGTCAGCCTGCTTAGGCATGCAACATACTGCAAAATGTTTTGTCTTCATGCACTTTGAGCATGTTTTTCCGTAGGCCTTAGACCTTAGAAAGTGGTCTTGCTTTAACAATGGAAATTTTCACTTGCTATACGTTCTGCTGTTTGACTTTCTTGATACGTTCTACCTTGGCGTTGCGTCGCTCAATCCTTTGGCTGCTGGGTTGTTCCCTGCTGTGTTATGGATATTGCCTACTTCGACTTAGCGGCATTCAACCACTAATTTCAATGCCACATCCTTCTTTCGGTAGAGTTTTTCTCGAAGCTTTTTGACGTTCTCTACACAATCTTGTTCCGCAGCATCGACAGCTTTATTTCGTCGAACCCCCAAGTCGTCGCCTTCAACTGAATATTGCGGTAAAAATGCTGAAAGCCTCTTCTTCTTGTCGCCGGGTCCGGAACACGTAGCGCTCGAATGTCTCATTTTATCTTGGAAGGCAGTATGGTACTGAATCTGCGTAAAAGTCATCCTAATTCTCGTCTTCTCCGGCTGGCAGATTACGCGCACTCAATACCTCAATGACCGCTTGTCCTCCGATGTGCGGAAAGATAGCCGCTTTCGTTTGTTGGCTACGAGGTTTTTTGGGCTCCGCAGCCAGAAGGAAGAGTTCCTTCCACTGCTTGCATCTGTTCCAATTTTCAGCGTTGTGCTCTCCGAACATCAGCGGTTCTATCGGTGGAAGATCAGTCATGGAGCAGGGCGATTAGAAATCACCCTGCACCATGACTGACACAATGCATCGTTCTTCCTCGAACGACAATGAATGTTGCTCCTCACATCAATAAGGAATTAGGACGACTGCTTTGTCGTCGTCTTTTATTCATGCCCACCGCGAGGCTATGCTCTTGCTACACTCAAAACCAACGAAAACATCTTAGATAACAATGCCGTAGTTCCGGGTTTTATAGGTCACCTACAAGAGTCCAGTGCAGGGCACAATTTGGACAAGCGAACAAATATAAAAAAAAACTTTAACTGAAGTACCATTTCCGTAGTAATAGAACACACAACTTAGGACACAACAAAGCCAAGCAACGAGATGTGTTATAAAACTTCCACCATATGGTGACGATTGGGCGGAAGATTCAAGTTACCTAAGGAAAGTAAATGGCGGCATTTCAAATGGTGGGGCTTACACCTTGATACTCCTTATCCAGTTCCGCGGGGTCTAAGATGAACTTGGGAAATCCAACCTTTTGGCCCATTGCCTCTACCTGCGCATAAAGAAAAACATATTTCTTCAGTTTGGTTTTTTTTCACTATGTTCACTTTTCAGTTCGCTGTGATAAAGTATGAAGCTTTGTTTTCTTCCGGTAGTTTTTGATTATTTATGGTTACAAAATATTACACCAACTTTTCTTTCTTTCTTTATTTGTTTTCCCTCGGGCAGAGCCCGAAAAAAGGGCCGGTGCAAAAGGCTAAAAAAGCCTGACGTGGCACCGGTCCCTTGAAGTCCACATATAAAAAATAACATGAAAATGTATTCGATCTGACAAAATAATACATGATAAAAACTTTTACGAAACTGGGACACACATACTTAACAAATATGCAACAATAAAGGTCATATATATAAAGATAAAAATGCGCACTGAATGCAAAAAAAAACAAAAAAACAACGATAATACATATTATAATCAACATACAAAGAAAAAACAAGTCATCTAAGGAACACACAAATAACAAGCATCATTATGGCTCACTTTGCGGAAACTGAACAGTATATCACCAAAAAATATAACAAGGCGAGTCATGCACATAAAATAAAACAAAGATGAACTTTGAAGGTATAATGTATAATACAAACGCTTTATTGTGATTTGGAAGCTCAGACGAATTTTATATCACTGCCTACCAGCAGTGCTCCACATTCTTTCTTAAATAATCTGCTATTTGTTAGCAAATAAAATATTAATAATTATCACCACAATCGAAATCCTAGCATGGACACGGTCCGGTAGCCTTCAGGCAAAATTTTTCTTCACACGAAGGCAGCATTTTAGACTAATTTACTAGTAAAAAAATAAGCATATATATTTATTTAATATCAATATTGTAACAATGTGCTAACTGAATCGCCGGAGTGGCGATATCTCAAACTGTTACTGTAGAGCCAGGCGAAGGAATGTGTTGATTCCATGATGGCACTGCTCGAGCTCTCGGCGCCAGAAGAACGAGTGTCGTCATCGTCGTCTGGTCACAGTTTCTAACAAATATCTTCTCATTTGTTTCAGTACAATCAGAAGTATTCACAGCGATGCCGGAAGGGAAACAGTTGACGCCATTAAAAGTTTGCGAATATGGTTGTCTGAATCTTGGTTGTTTGTAGCTAAAAATGTCTAAGCTTTTAATAAACCATCTTACGGGAATATGCCAACGTGTTTTGAAGACGTCCAATTGTGACAATGTAACCATGATAATTCTAAACAAATATTCTGTCTGAAGTTACATTTCAGCTTAACAATTTTGCATGTCGTGGGGGCACCAAAGGTAACACTTATTATGTCACGTTCACATAATTGTTTTGTGAACATAATCACAAATAAATGTTCCTAAAATATTTTATAATGTGTGTACCTTTCCGGCATGATTGAATACAAAAAATATATTGACATAATTTGCATTTGAACTGTAGATTAAATCAATGGCATATATTTGAAAATTATGGATACTTGTAGCAACACATACATAAAAAGTTCACTTTTTTTAATAAAATCTTTTGCTCACTGGGAGCTTGAAGCCAACTGACACTTTGAATATTGCAATTTGAAGAACTTTTAAAGAATCTTGCGATAATTAAGCCAATCATGATCAAAGCTGGAGTCGTCCGTTTAAGTAAACAGAGTGTCCGCTTTTTACAAATTAATGAAAAATACAAATCAAACTATGCACAATATTATTTATACGAATCGGTTAAAAATTACGTACTGAATATTCAAGCAACCGTTCAGCATCTATTACACTTTCCTTCTTGGTATTTTGTGTAGAATTATACTTTGTCCCACCCTACAATTGGCCAAAGCTACGGGCCCTTAGGACCAATAACGAAACAGTTAGAGGCCAGGTGGTATGGTGCTCTGACATGTGCTCATTAGCACGCGTTTCGGTGCACTGATACGTGCAAGGGAGCAACACGTGGTGTCTAGCTGAATCGTGAATTGATCAGGCGGCCCGTAGCTTTTCTTTTTAGTCCATCGCAGGGTGACACGAAGTATAGCACGTAAGAGTTGACATTGTTCATGATAATGCTAACGCTTATAGAAAGATAGCTTCGGAAATATCTCAGCAACCAAACAAAGGGACCACCCGGTCTCACGTTTTGTCATCATGAATAGCAACCAGCTCGTTTTTTAAGTATTATCCCAATCGAACTTTTTTCTATTGCTACTGGTACAATCGCACTCGTTAATTGATATTTGTTAGTTTGCTCAGTTATTTCCCAAGAACCAAGCGCCCACACTGTAAAGGTGCCGATTAAATAAGTTACATGAGCGATTTCATTTAAAATTCTGTAAAAACCGATTAGAAAATTTTCCTAAGAAATATGCAGGATGCTTCTTTTAAAGCTTAACAAATTCGCTTTCAAAAAGCCGAAAAGCTACGCTAATGCGGTTTGTGTTTATAAGTTATTCGAACAGAATGAGGGGGGGGGGGACTAACCATAAAGTCGTAACGATCACTCGGCTAATTAACTATAATAAGTTAATTAATGTATTAATTATTGAAAATAAACATATAGTTATAGTCAGAAACTTTCTGAGTGTCGTAGAAAACAACGAAAATCAGTCAATATTTTAAAAAAAAAAACTTGGAGCGAGTGGGAAGCACAATGGAGTACTAAAGTTCCCAGTCGTGCAGCAGGAGCAAAGCTATCGAGTGGGTAACTTTAGTTCACAACTACGTTTCTCACACGTTCAAAGTCTTTCTACATAAAAGCTTTCTAGATAAAATGTTGCACTTGAAAGCCGTGCGTTGAACTATCTTTGGAAAAATATGGTGAACAGAAGCGATTATTCGGTATTGTCATGAAATTAATTAGCCCGACAACCTGTACCTTGTCTTTGCAGAGCTCTTTGGTCTTTTCGTCCAGAAACCGCTGCCTGGGAAATGTCTCCACGTAGGTATTCTTGATCTCTTCGATGAGTTTCTCGACCTGCATAGGGGGTGTGAAGGTTGATGCTTGCACTCCACCCTTCGCTTCAGCACTTCAGCAATGTTTTTACTGAAATAACATTTTTGAACACACACACACACACACACACACACACACACACACACACACACACACACACACACACATATATATGTATGTATATATATATATATATATATATATATATATATATATATATATATATATATATATATATATATATAAGCCAGGCGCAGGCCAAATCGCTCCTGTGAAAACTACTCATCGCAACGAAACAAAGCTTGTGGAGTTTTGGTCCTGTGCCAGGGGCCCATTTAGGAAAATGATTAAAGTCCGGGATATTTAGGTTGTTAATTATTTTTGCGTAATTAACTTTTTAATATTCTGTTTAAGGGCATGGTTCAAATGAGAAAATTGCTCAGGATCAACGGAAACACTAAATCAACAAATTGCAGAACGATAGAAGGCACGCGAAGCATTTTACGGCTTTCTGAAAAAACGCACAAAATCGACGGGTTTTTAAGTTTCGGTTTGCTATCGGAGCGCATCTCAGCCCCGGCGGCACAGTGCCCCGTGGAGAGAGTGCAGCCAGCCTCTGCTGCGTCACGCGATGACAGCGCAGCAGAGGAAGCGGAAATTCGCTGATGCTAGACAAGGAAGCCAAAAACAACAATGCATTGTCATGCATGTAAACACTAAAGTCCCCCTAGCGGGACAGCGTTCGTCCCGTCTGCTTTCTTTTCCCTTGTCCTAGGTTTTTTTTTTTTTTTTTTCTTTTTTTGCGTGGTGTGAATTTTTTTTGTGAGCCGGAACCACCTCACAAACATAGCTACTTTAAGACAACATACCCCATAGGAATCGCGCAGGCATCCCTTAAACTCTTACCAGGGCGCACAAGGACCCTGATGTTTAAAAAACATAAAAACCTTACAATATTTTAGTTTATTTTTATATATATTGTGCATTTGTAATCGCAAGCTGCCTTTTAAAAGAGTCTACTGGATTGGTCGTATAATACTGCTAAATGTTTCTCAAACACAGAATATAAAAGGGGTCTCCGAACCCCGGCTTGCGGGCCAGGATCCAGCCCGCATAGGCGTTCCGGCCGGCGAGCGAAGGGTCGCTGTCCTTCCACTGGCGCCCGGCCCCCAGTAAACGAGCATAAAAAATAAAAAAGGTGCCACGACGCGCACAAACTGAAGATATAAAAAAAGAATGAGCGAAAACTGCGTCAAAACGCGGGTTCCCTTGCTGTATTATTTATTGTACTGTTGTCACCAGCATTACTATTCAGGTACCGTCTCATGCCTGTGTAACTATGTCAGAATTTCTTTGCGTTCTCATGTGTATCGTACTTAGTGTCCTGCGTGACAACTATTGCATATTGCCATGCTAACATCTACCATAATCATTAGTCTTCTGCCGTATGTGAATATATCACAGTTCCTACGCACTCTGAATATTCCCTGGGGAGATTTTGGGGTCACAAGTTTTTTTTTAATATTATAAATAACAATGCATTAAATTTCAAAATACAATATACACATTAATCTATATCCACCTTACAATTTTTACGTTTTTGTTATAGTTAAAATGTTTGTACTTAAATGCTTTATTTAGAATTTCTTCTTATATAATCTCATTTATTTTCCGGCCGTAGAGAATCTGACGGATCCCCAATCCCTCACTTTAGAAAAAAAAAATCTAAAACACTATACTTTAGTCTCCGTGAAACTCCCGTAATGTACTTCGCCGTCACGGCAGAAACAGCACGCATCATGGGGCCCTGTGAACTTGCATTCCTTATCGGAACGCAACGATTCACGGAAGTTGCTTATATTGACGATATATCTGAGGAATAAATCCTTGAACTTTACTTTTTCAAGGCCAACGGTTGATAGTTAGATTTTAAGAACCTCACATGCAATCTAAGTGACGAAAACATTATCTTCTGCAACCAACGGGCAATGGACAACAGAGGTTGATTTCTGCTGTGCTCCATGCCCACTGTGACTTTGTTTTTTTACAGAATGAGACTATTATCTGGACGACGGATACCAATAACTGCTAGGGCAGTATTGCTGATGCTGAAGGGGATGCCATGTGCAATAGTGTTCCTGTAGTTATAGCTGCAAGAACACTAATCGATTTCACCAGCGAATATGTCCCTATACGCCTCGCCATAATTAGGAATGAAACCATCTACTTCAGGAAGAGCTGCCGAATTGCAAAGCGGCTTCGTGCTGTCAGTCTCACTCCTCCATTAAAGGTCTGGCCTACCTTACAAAAGAGAAGTTGCCGATGTCCTTGCTTGGAGCTAGCAGATCGCACCAAACATTGCTTCGATCAAACACAAGGTCTCTCCTTAGCTTACTTAATCTATACAAAGATGTGCTTGCCTCCTCCTGTGAGACCGGATGAAAAAGTGCTGCACGCCACCGTATTGATAAGGGAGATGCTACTCTGGCAAAGCAACAAACTCTAAAAATCTCGCTAGCAAAACGAAGCGAAGTCGGCCAGATGATCTACGACAGGCAACAACAAGATGTCATCGAGTCTTCATCTGGGCCTTGGGTGTCGCTGGTCGTCTTTGTGATGAAGCAATTATAGCACTTGGTGATTCTGCATTGAATACTGGCGACTGAACGATGTCATTAAGAAGAACTGCAACTTTCTCGCTAGTATTGACGACACTTTTGATGCACTGGTTTTTTCTTCCTGGCTTTTCACACTTTATCTCAGGAGCGGATACTGGCAAGCCGAAAGGGACCCCAAGGACCGCGAGAACACAGCATCTTCTATCGGAAATGGCCTCTGGTACTTCCAAGCGATGCCCTTGGCCTGTGCAACGCGCCTCCAACGTTTGAGCGCCTCACGGGCTAGGTCCTTAGGGGCTTAGCACTGGAGGTTTGCTTGGTATATCTGGATGGTATACTTGTGCATGGCAAAACTTTAAAATGAGCACGTTATCATATGTCGTCTGGGTTGAACCGTCTCAGGGGAGCGAACTTAAAACTCGATGCCAAGAAATGCACTGTATTTGAAAAGAGAGCGCGGTATCTATGCTACGTTGTCTCCAAAAATGGTATAGAGAAAGATCCTGAAAAAACGAGGTGTGCCAGAAATTGGCCTCAACCACAAAACCAAAGTTAAGTGAAGGGCTTTCTCGGCAATGTACATACTACAGACGATTTGAGAAAAGCTTCGCAATGACTGTCAAACCGCTTTATGCATGGACGGAACAGAACAAGGAATTTGAATGGAGTGTACACGCTCAAGAGGCTTTCCCCCTTCAATTTTTAGAGTTCCTCGACTGGAGTGCAAGCTCGCCCTTGACGCCGATGCGAGCACCGTTCTCTTGGGTGCTGTTGTGTCCCAGACGCAGCATGGCTCTAAGAAGATGACTGCTTATTACAGCCAAGTTAAAAACAAAAAAAACAAAAAAACAAAAAAAAAAAACTGAACAAAGCTGCTACGTCGCGAGGAGGGAACTATTGGCAGTCGTGAAAGCCATGATTTATTTCCACCATTACTTGCGCGGAACACAGTTCCTCTTGAGAACTAGTCACAGATCTTTTACTCGGGTTCTTTATTTTAAAAACCCGGAAGTGCAGGTGGCCAGATGAAACAACTGCAGGAACATGAGTTTAAGACTGCACACAGAACTGGCAAAAGACATGCCATCGCCGATGCACTCTCGCGACGACCTTGTCTTCCTGTTAACTGTAGCGCATAGCTGAAGAGCGAACAGCTCTCCAAACGTGTCTGTAACCGGTGTCACCTACCCAAGCGACCATGTGTCCTGTGGTGGTGGAATACCACTAAGGTGACGCGGACCCGACCAACTAGAGTGTTGATGTTTTCCGTTCTCTTCAAAGAAGCGACAACTTACAGCCTGTTCTGCAACAGAAACAGGCTGGTGAACTACCGGACTGGAACATGATTGTAGCATACAGCAGCTTAGTAAAAGCCTACTGGGGTAAATAGGATTTACCTATTCTCCAAGATGAACTGATGTATTGTGTTTGGGAGAGCAAAAACGGAAAGAGCACGCTTCAGTTCATTTACCGGAAGTTCGTATCGACATTGTGTTGCGTGAACTTCACGACAGTTCTGCTAGTGGACATCTTGAATATTATTAGACTCTATAACGAGTTCGGGAAAGGATTCATGGATGAAGAAAGAATAAAACAATTAAAACAGGGACAACACAACCACATCTTTCAACTAGCAACAAACGAGTAAACTTTCAAACAGCGAGCAGCCGACTATACCCAGTAGGAGTAGGGGAGAGAAGGGGGAGAGAAGGAAAGATAAGAAACGCGAAGTGCAAGTCAGGGTGGTAGGGTTATCTCGGATTTTAAAAATTCAACATCAGTTTTCGTCAGCAGGAGGGAAGGGTTAGACACGTTGTTTTTTGCTGTGGTCATGGCGAATGATTCTATGATTTCCCTGCCGACTCTGCTGTCATGTCCCCCCAGGATTTTTGTGTCATCAAAGAGGGGATGACAACGCAAACACGAACGGGCATGTATGACTATGGGATGATAAGAATCTGAAGAGGCCTTAGAAACTTCGTTGTGATGTTCGCGGAGTCTGTGATCGGTGCATCTGCCGGTCTGTCCTATGTATTGATGGCCGCAGCTCAAGGGGATCGAGTAAACTTTCTTCTCTTTGCATGGAATGAATTTCTTTTCCCCTACTCTTACTTTGAAAGTTTGAAAGTTTACTCGTTTGTTGCTAGTTGAAAGATGTGGTTGTGTTGTCCCTGTTTTAACTGTTTTATTCTTTCTTCATCTATGACTTAAAACAACACGCTCTTCTCCCAAGGAATGGATTCCTTGGCTCGCTTCTACGCGCAAGGAGTGCAAGAAGTGTACCTACTGCGCTTCTCTCAAAAGACCACCATCACGAAGCCGGAGAAAAATGGTAACGTATAACGCAGGTTCCCCGTTTGAAAAAGTAGCAGTGAGTGTTGTAAGTTCAGAAAGCTTCTGGAGGCAAAATGGTGTCACCGGAGGTGAAGCAAGTAGAAACTTCCGGTTTGGAGTGACACGGCCTTAACGACGACCAAAAAAAAAAATGCGATTAGATGGAAGGGACTCCCTTGAGCACCCTTCGAAAGTTCTCACTGACCGTGACTTGTACTTCCAGCTTTATTTGGGATTTTCTCGTTTGACTGGTATGAGCCGGTGTGTCGCCTCGTCTTCTTTCTACCTCCATGTAAGTCCACTACCAAACACAACACAGAGAATTCGGTAGGTCATAGCGATTGCTGACTATTTTACTAAATAGCTAGAGGCCTTTCTAGTACGGAAGTATGACGAAGACACTGTCACAATGATCTTGGTGGCGAACACTGTTCGTTATACGGAGTACCACTAGAAATGTATTTCTACCAAGGTGCTTTTGTGTCGCACTTGTTCAGAAGCGTTCGCGCGACTCTCAGGATAACGAACACAAGAACAACGCCGTTACATCCCAACTCAAATGGTATGGTTAAGAGGCTCAACCGCTAACTCAAACAGTATCTTTCGTTGTTCACTGACGAGCACCAAGATAGCTGGGACACTAATTGTGTTCTTTCTACTTGTTACGTATCAGCTATTTATACTGCGACAAACTCTATGCTATCGATGTTGTTAATGATCAGGACGTCGAGGTTGCTTGCGGACATCACTTTCAGCACGCCAATGCTTCAGTCGCGGGTGCCAGGCTCTGGTCTGAGGTCTCTACTCTGAGTACTACCGCCATCTACTCTTAAAACTTGATTGTGCGCGCGATTTCGCACGAAGAAGCCTGCACCGGAGCAGTTACCGTGCAAGAACTCGATAAAACGAAGCGCCGCAGGTTGACCACTACAGCCGAGAGATGAAGTGTTGCTGCACCAGCCACTTCTCTTTAAAAATGGCATTTCAAAACAGAGCATATAAAAAGTGACCTATCTAGAACAATAGGGATAATTTATAAGACAAAATACCTTCTACCGACATGGTTGAAGGTACAAATATACTACACCCTCTTTTATCAAAAACTTTGCTACTGTTTACTAGTTTGGGGCACCACGGTTAAAACCGATTATAATGGACTTATAGCGCCTGTCCTGTTTACTTCTTGTCCTTGTTCCTGTTGCGCTATTTTATATGTTGGACTTATAAGTTTACAAAAACGTATGTTAAGAATAATGGTCAACACGAATCACTGTAGTGAAGCCGAAAGCCTATTTGACGGATTCAATATCCTTCCACTTTCTAAACTTTACCATTATAAGCTCGGGCAGCTTATTCATAAAAACGGAGTAAGCGGCTTTGACCTCATTCCCGCAAATTTGTCTGAATATAATTTAAGGACATCAAGGAAATACAGACTACCATCTATTAGGACTAACTACGGAAAACAAATGATCAATTTTCAGGTTTCCCAGCTCCTAAATGCAGTTGGCAATAATTTCATAACTACTAAAAACCAAACAACATTTAAAAACAATCTACGCTCCTTTTTGATTGCCATTGAGTTGATAATTCTATAGATATGTTGAAATACATTTTTTAAATATTTTAACCAGCATTTTTCGTGGATCCGCTTTTATTAAAATCTTGTATACCTTGTGATCACGTTTATTTGTTTATTTTATTGTCTGGACAATGTCAGAATGCTATTTTTACATGTGCCGGGAATAGACCGATGTCACCAAGCGAACTGCGCAGGCGCGCGCATTCCGGAAGTGGTGCCGCCGCCATGCTACTTGTAGTCATCCCTTTCCGGCTTCCCAGCTACATAGCGCTGCGCGTACATCATCGTAGATTATCGTTTGAGACGCCCCGGTATCAGCTTGATTCTCCTGCATTTCTGCACTTCATAACATTGTGTTGTTTGTGATGCCTTAGTTTGTAAGCATCCGCAGAAAAGCAGTTTCAGTCGTCTTATCGCTTTAGAATCGCTTTGTGGTCTGCTTCGTTGTCGTCTGCTTCGTCGTGTTCGTGAACGCGTGAGCCCACTGCCATTCACGCGGTGGTCGCACAGCGGCCACGCGAAAAAAAAACAAAAAAACGACACCACTAGTCGAGCATTCCGGCTGGTTGTACGTCTCAATTAACTTGGAAACAATGGCGCGATGGCAAAGAACAAGAAATTCGAGGGACCATCGGCTCTGCGTCGCGCCGCAGAGCAACATCAAATGTGTTGGTGAAAAACTGTGCTTGGTAGTGCTTAGGCTTGGGCATAAGTTTTAATCGACAATGAAGCATAGTGGAGCTAAATAGACTTTCTCGGTGAGCAATAGTCTTCTAAAAGTTGTTTCATTTTGGTTGACAGCCTGCGCAACAGGGTACAGATTAACTGCGGGAGAAGCCTGCATATAAAGAAGAAGTGATCTACAGAAAGGCCATGCCTGACGCGCCGTAACAAATGACATCTGACAAAAAAAAGCAACCATGCCATATACCTGAAAGCTTAAGGTAGGAATGACTTTTCGTGCACAGTTTCTGTTTAGTTTTATTTTGTTTGCGCAAGCTCCAAACGCTAACAGTCGCCCGATGAGGCAAAGCTTTTTTCTGCGATCTCGATTATTGTCAATGCAGAATGGATCAGTAACACCAGCCTAATAGGCGACCACAAAATGAATGAGGTTCGTTGTTACATTTTTGGCGGTAAGTGTTGCACTTCCAAATTGCATTATGGGGTGTTTTCAGGTTTATATATACAAAAAAGTGAAGACTGCTTCCGGAAAAAAGTTGTTTTATTTCAAGCGATGCATATCGGAAATCGCTGCTCTTTTTTAGTGACTGTCGTGATCTTTTGAAGCGCAGCTGTGCTTGAAACATGTCGTCGCAATAATAGTTATAACCACCCAAATACATCGAGCAAAAAGTGTATTAAAAATGGCCTCCGCAAAGCAGTGCGGAGGTCTTATTTGAAACAGACCGACGGATAGACCGCTACGGAACGAATGCTCAGGGAGATTCCAGCGTACGCAACACTTTGGTCCGCTCTATGTCTCCTGCCCTGTAATCTTGATATTTTAGCTGACGTGCAATAGGGTGGATATAAATTATGAAGCAAACCGCGAAACAAATCGTAAAACGTTCATTTTCCTGTCGCTCTGTCCGGTTGTGTTTACCTTTCTTTGCCATGCTTCTTTCTTTCGGGAAGACGTAATATCCGAGGCCTATTTGCCTGGTGCTGTTATTATAGCTCCGTGGAATACAACAGGTGAAGCCACCGATTGAAAATTATGAAGAAACACCAGGCTAAAAGTCTCGCGCTAACCCGAAAATTTCCAAACGCCGGGCGTAGAATGCACATTGACGCGGCCGGAAAACTGAGGAGAACTACGGGTACCAGAATGCACCGCGGCAGCGGTGGCGTCGCGCAACTCCTGGTGAGATCGGTCTATTTAGGAATGTATTCTAGCTTCTTCACTTTCATGGTTTACACCGAAAGTGCTTTTCTTATTTTTGTTTATTTATTTTTGCTTGATGTCTTATGTTACTTTTTAATCTTTGTTTTTATGACAATGTTAAACAACATCAAAGTGTGCTAGTATTCATTCTTTACAATTTTATGTGTGCATCCATTTTCCCTTGAGTGTATGTATGTGTGTATCTATTATATCTTGTATAAGTATTTTTTTCTCTTGTCGAAGTTTAACCTTTAATGTTATTGCTGCTGGACTTTGCCCCCCCTCCCCTCCCCTCCCCTCCCCTCCCTCCCTCCCCTCCCCTCCCCCCCCATTGGACCTTGGTGCCCAGTCAGGTGACACGATCGCCTTTTGCGCCAAGGTACCATTTCGAGGAGTGTGTACCCCTTGAAAGAAAAATAAACTGATTGATTGATTGATTGATCAACCACATTGGGACGGCCCATTCAAGATCGTCGAACATGACGTCGTTTACCGGATTCGGCATGTGTGGAGACGTAAATTTCATATGGTGCATTTTGATCGGTCTAGCTCTTTATCAATCTGACTAAATATTTCTGTAATACCTCGGGGTGAGGTCCATGTGTCGCAGGGCGTAATATTATTAGGGTGAATGTGGATAGGAAGCGGTTCACGGAGAGGTTCATGGACACAAAAAAGGAGGATGCCAAGAGCAATAATTTCGGAACGCATGGTGTTTTAGCAGTGTCTTGTACATAACAATTTATCACACCCATGGTTTCCATCTTTCAGCACATTTCAAAATGTCAGAAAAAAGCAATCACAATTGCTTTTTTGAAAATTAAAATGAACTTTTATTTTCTTCATGATTCTGCGAGAAACATTATCAAGCTCGGAATATATTCAAATTTATTGTCAAAGTTACAGTTACCAAGGCACCATGAAAGGTTTAGCCGTTTGGAAATCCTAAAGGCGTGAAACAAGTTGCGCCGTTCTGATGCATAAAAGAGATACGTGTCATGTCTCGTTAATATTGAAACCATTTATATTGATATCCCACTGTATAGAGGAAGTTTCTGGAGATGAACTGGAGCAATACGCGAACTTTTGCCGAGTTAGAATGAGCAACTCAAATTAGGAACGATTTCTAGGGGGACAGTGTCCGCATTAACGAGACATTACTGTAACAAAAACCTCACAAAATAAACCCGCAAAAAAAAAACAAAAAAAAAAGACCGATTGGTTTGAAGTTGTTTTACCTGGGCGTCGGTGTCGACGTCGAAGTCCTGCCTGACGAAGAGCGCGGCCATGGGCATGCTGAAGCCGTCGCTGAGCAGGCGCACGCACTCCTTCCAGCGGGACAGGTAGGTGCGCTCCTCGTGGGGTCCGGGCACGCGGCGCCGGAAGTCCTGGTACAGGCGCCGAAAGTGCACGTCCAGGTAAGGCATGTACGACAGCACGAACCGCCACGACAGGTAGTTGGCCACTGTCCTGCGAAACGAGAACCCACACACGCTAAAAGGGGGTAGCTCGTAAAGTCCACGTAAGCTGAAAACTAACGCGATTCCCCTTCTCCCAGCGTCTCTCCCCCAAGCTGCACGACGCCATTTTGCGAACGAAGGCACCGGTCAATGAAAACATCACGCGCGCTCACGTGACGCCGAGATGTGCCAGCGCACTTCCCACCCCTTCTCCCAAACTCCCTGGCTGCTCGGCCTTTTTCAGGGAAGACATCAGTGGATGAGTAGGAACGTTCTGAACAATGAATCGCCTTCCGTTTTTATATACTTTTGTAGCTCGCGGGTGACGTCTGTCCCGTCCGCTACTGCTGTTGCAGCGGTCACATGAAACTAGACATGTCACTATCAGTAAAATTAATGTTGACGTGACTAAATATGCTCCGGGGGGGTCACCTGACATGGGGGGGAGGGGGTCACGTGACCTCGGGGGGGGGGGGGGGTGTCGCGTGACTTCGGGGGGGAGGGGGGGTCACGTGACCTCGGGGAGGGGGACACGTGACCTCGGGAGGGGGGGGCCACCTTGGGGGTCACGTGACCTTCAGGTGACCTTGAAAGGGGTCACGTGACCCCTCCCAAGGTCACGCGACCCCCCCTGAGGTCACGTATCCCCCTCCCCGAGGTCACGTGACCCCCCTCCCCCCCGAAGTCACGCGACACCCCCCCCCCCGAGGTCACGTGACCTCGGGGGTCACATGACCTTGGGGTGACCTGGGGGTCACGTGACCTTGGGGGTGACCTGGGGGGTCACGTGACCTTGAAAGGGGGTCACGTGACCTTGGGGTGACCTTGGGGGTCACGTTACCTTGGGGGTCACGTTACCTTGGGGTGACCTTGGTTACGCCGACGGCGACGCCGTTCAAGCCGGAAACAGGCGCCTAAGAGCTGCGCTCTAAAAGGGGACTATCCGAGAGGAATGGGGCAGGCTATGTATACACCAACTCAACTCTCCTACGTCACGCCGCGGTGGTGGCGCGCCGGACGCACTTCCGGTATGGGGCAGTGGGCAGAAGTCGCCGTGCCAGACATGCATTCCTGTGTTCCTTTGGAAGAAACGAGACAAAAAACCTGCCTTCTCGTCAAAATGCTGCGACGGGGGCTTTACCAAGAGAGTCTGGAAAGGTTTGAAGATCAGTTTTCATGTGTTTTTGCACCCTCCGTTCGTCCGAGAACGTGGATAGTTGCCGTGAAAAGGGCAAACCAGACGCCGTCGAACTACGATTGCGTGTGCGGGCCACAATATGCGGTCGCCAGATGTATTTGCTTTGTTCCAACATGAACGAGAGAAAACCCCCAAGTCGTCCGGGCCACCGAAGGGTTCAGTGCGTCTTCAAATTCACACGACCGCCTGATCGTTCGAACTTTCGTCTGCTCTTTCAAAGTTGTCTGCTTTTTGTCGTCTGCTCGTTCAAACAAAAGCGGCCCGTTGACTAAAATTTGACCCGGTGATTGCGATAAGAAGTAATTGCAGGCCTCATAAGGCTTAAGTAGGCTCGGTGTAAACAGTAGATACAAGATGTTAATTATTGGTACCGGTGGCCATCACCTACTTGTTACGCTTGGTCTGTTCCCGCTTCCGATTTTCAGTATTGACGTCGATCATCGCCGCTACCTTTTACACTTTTGCAGCACGAGCGACGTCGCGACCGAAAATAGCTACAAGAATCTCATCATGGTTTTGGCGTCCGTTCTGCAGCCTTCATGCGAATGAATCGCCGCATGTCAAATTATTTACGGAAAGTTTAGCGGCGTAACGAGCCTTGATAATTTCGCTCAGGCGATTCAAGTGGTAAGACATTGCGATGAGGACGTAGAATCGACAACTCCAACGCGAAAAAGGGTATGCAGACTCACACAGACGCCGACAACGTGACATTCGAATGGTTTGTTGACGCTGGACGCGGTGCTTCTTGCCCGTACTCCATTGCGCGTGCGTTCGAACTGTCGTCTGCTCTTTCAAACTTGGCTGCTTTGTGTCGTCAGCTCGTTCAAACGACAGCGGCCCGTAAACCAAACGTTGACCCGGTAATTGCGATAAGAACTAAGTGCAGGCCTCAAAACACTTTTGAAGGTTGGTTGGGGTAAGTCGGCTAAGTGTAAACAGATACAAGAAGTTGTTGATCATTGTTACCAGTGGCCATCACCGACTTGTAATGCCCGATTCTACTTGCGGTTTTCAGTATCGATGTCCACCATCTCAGCTACGGTCCACGCTTTTGCAGTCCGAGCGACGTCGCGACTGAATATAGCGAACAGAACCTCATCGTGGGAGTCAGGCTTTAGCGCCCATTTTGCGGCGTCCACGTGAAATGAATCGCCGCACGTCACATTATTCACGCAAAGTTTTGCCTCGATAGTTTTGCTGAAGCCGCTCAAGTAGTCAGACATTGCTAGGAGGACGTAGAATCAACAATTCCAACGCGAAAAAGAGCACGGGGACTCCCACCGACGCCGACAACAACGCAATTCAATAGTTTGTTTATGGGCGACGGCGGGCTTCTTGCCCACCATCCACCGCGCATGCGCGGCGCCGGTGGCGTCCGCTAGGGGCGCTCCGGTTTGTTTGTAAACATGAGTTGGTGTATACAAAATGCTTGGACAGTTACTGTTGCATTGTAGAAACGTTTTATATGAAAAACATTAAAGCACTTTTGGAACACTTTAGAGTAACTGGCAGCTTGAAAAAAAAAAGCAGGGCATGGAGTGGCACTTCAGTATTTCTCCTCTCCTCCAACGAGATATCAATATCAATCAATTAGAACGCCGAAGGACGTTTCAAAAAGTAAAAAAAAAAAACGAACCTAATAAACATAATAAGTTATTGCATGCGTTTCCTAGGTTGTGAGGGACTGTATTCCCTGACAGCGCACCAAACGCGGGGCTCATTATCTTCACGCTGTTTGGGCATTTCTTCAATCTCTTTATCCGCGGAGCTATAGGAAGATGATCGGGAAGCCCTACGCCCCGAGCTTCTAAAGCTCTCAGTGACAAAAACAGATTAGCGGAGCTTTGATACTTGATTAACCATGGCATCCTATTTCTTCGCTCTGGAGCTCCTTTAATATTTTCTAGCTTTTAGAATCGTAATGGTTCTTTTCGCGGTGCCGTGCAAATTTATTTATTTATTTATTTATTTGCAATACCCTCAGGGCCATAAGCCATGGGGCCATAGTGTTATCGTTATTGAGAAAGAGTTAATCAATTCCCCAACCGCCAGACAAGTAGCTGATCGTCCTGCGGAACGGAAGCCCAAATACGCTGAACGGTATCGCTCACATTTGGACTATCTACGATGGCCGGAGTAGCTGCTCTGACGTATACTGAAACCGTAAAGGTCTTGGACAACGGAACGCGCCACTTTCAGGAATACGGAAGGGGATAGAATAGATGAAGATCCGAAGGACTTGACGTCGGAAGAACGCGCGCAGGTTGTATATACAAAATGCTTCGCCAGTTACTCCAGCAGCGGTCACTAAAGAATAATTCAACAACTTTTGTTGAATTCTGTGTGAAGAATAATATGAGTAAAAGAACGTAAAAGACATAGAACGGCACCTCTCCGCGTTGGCCTAGTTCGATCATTTTGTACAATCGTTCTGACACCTTTGCGCCGCTATCCCCAAACATTGTAATTTTTACCGAGAAAGTATGAACCCTCTGACGGCTTTACGCTGGCCGTGACTTCGCGTCATGAAAGTCTTGCAAAACGTGCATAGCTCTTTTCGAGACTGCATTTTAACACAGGACGTGGATAAGGACACAATTTCACTCGAAAAGCGTTACGCTCGACGCTCGAGCGAGGCAACACAAAGCACGCATAGACACATAGAGCGGGTAATGCATACGCATACAAAGCATGCATCGAAGATTGCCATTTTTTTGCCGTGTCTTGCAAATGCAATGCCCGAGATGCTGCGCACATTGCTGCACAGATGACGTCACATTATCGCGGGAAGCGTTTTTCGTTAAATTTAGCTCAGAAATTGTGATATCATAAGAAGTAATGAGGCGCGATGTTGCGTGAAGCGCTTCCCCGCAAAATTGAATGAAAAGAATTTCACGTTTGATTCAGATCGACAGTGTGTGATACGGTCCCTGATACCCTTATAAATTTAGTGGAGAAACTTTACCGTTACACTTAGCGGGAAAATTGTGACGTCACGTGACACTGACGTTACAGTCCCACGTGGCGCTGCTTCCCTGCTTGTCTTAACCGGAAGCGTTTCCCGCTGAATTAATCGAGCGACGACCTAAAACGAGCAAACCTAGGGCCCGGCTGCGAAATCTCGCCAGTGACGGCTGTCGCCGTAAAAGGCATACTTGCACATAATTATATTTACTCAGTATTATATAAGCGTAATTATTTGCAAAGAGTGAGCTTTACCAGGCGGCGCAGCTGGAGTCGAACCTCGGACCGTGGCATGCGCAGCCGAACGCCTTCGCTGAGCTCCACGAGGAGGCGAAATGGTGCGCGAGCAGCTGGAGTAACATGACCGGAGCCTGCGCTAGCAGGCAACCGTCGGCGCATGCAGCTGGCTCCCGAATGACTAAGCGAAACTCCCCACGTGATCTCACGACGTCACGGAGCAGGTCACAAGTTTATAACGCACCAAGATTTACTAGTGAGTTTTAGTACTGCGTATGCGAGCCAGACATGTACAAGTTACTCAAGAAAGGTAGTGAAGTTAAGTTACTGAGTGTCGACGCTCAAAGTAAGCAGAAATTACGCATTTGTAATAGTAATTGAGTAAACTACTAACTACTGTAAAAACGTAGCGAGTTACTTTTAAAATTACCTTCTAAGTTATTTTTTATATTTTTTGGGTAGCAAAATAAACAGCAGTTTTGATCCGTGAAAAACGATGCAAGCGTAAAATAAATGCAGTCATTTTATGACTTGCGTTTTCACAAAAATAGTTTATTCGCTCGCAGAAGCAATTAACCTTCAAAGTTCTTCTCAGAGAGTTTTCCCCT